GGGCGCCGCCATCTTTTTTTGATGAAAAAGTGCTTCCGGTGAGCTTTCTACCCGGAAAAGCTCACCGGAAGCACTTTTTCATCAAAAAAAGATGGCGGCGCCCAGCAAGCCAGCGGCCCGGTAGGACTTGTTCCGCGGACCGGTTGTTGGGGACCCCTGCGTTAGAGTAAAAGAGTTTCTCTTCTGCATTCCTTTCACCCTAATTATACTTACGCAGAGGATCCTAGGAGGTAGATCCTGACTGACCTCCGCTGTTCATCAGTGTGCTGGGGGCAGCGAAGAGACCTTCAGGCAAAAGACAAGATTACAGAACAGTCATAGGTTGTGAAATACATGCTTCCTGCTCTTTCATCACCCATAATCCTAACCAATCAATATTCCAGAAACAGGGGATCAACACTGTTAAAAAATCTAAAGGAACAACCAAATGCTCAGACCTGGAAAATATATTGAGTATCCCAGTCTGTCTTTGAAACAATGCCTATCTACTAGCAAAGCAAAATTTAGTAACCTGTACAGTTTTTCAAGAATTGTATTGTTTTGTTTTTTAATTCTTTCTCTGAAAGCAAGTCATTCTTTTTTGTAACTGGAATCTGAAGACTTTAAGACCAGGAAGCAAATTCAAGCCAAGTTTTAAACAACTGGCTGCTCAGCAGTTTTTACCTCTCAAAGTAGACTCTCAGCAGCATCTTGTGAGAAACTTAAAATACATTTAGTCAGGTGGGCGTGGCCATGGTGGGCATTTGACACAGGCTCAAGGTGCATTTTTCCCCCTTCTTTCTTTCCACAGTTCTTTACTATAACCATTTTCCTATGTCTTCTACCAGATATTAATGGCAAACATTTATTAATTATTCTTCATATTCCACTAAACTTTTCATTTCTACATTTATACCCCATTGTTTAATAGTAAATTGTTTTTCCAGGCAGAAAAAGCTATTTGTACTATTGTATTTTTATTGTTAAACTAATAATAAAAATACAATAGCATAAACAACATGATAACACAAGATCTAACAACAGAGGTAAATTTCCAGGATAGTAAATAGAAATGGCTGTCAATTATATATTGTTAATTGTAGATTAAATGGACCTACAGTATGTAAAAGCTGGCATTAAACTGCTTTATTAACATAGGATGTTGCTTGTTTTCTATCCAGGTCAGGCTCTTACTTGGGGTCACATAATTGTAATCCAGTCCAACCCAGCCCCCTCCTGCAGCACTCTGCTGGCCGAAAATGGGCTGCACAGAGGTCCCGCACCCTGTTTTCAGCTAACAAAGTGTTGCTGGAGGCCAAAAATGGGCCTGTCAGAGCCCCATTTTCGATCAGCAGAGGGCTGCTGGAGAGGCCAAAAACAGGCCTTGTGGGGCCTCCGTGCAACCTGTTTTCAGTCAGCAGAGTGCTGCAGGAGGCCAAAACAGGCGGCGGGGAGGAGCGCATGGGCCAGTCCTTTGATATTTCCAGCCCAGCCCCATGGGTCAGGTTTAAGCACCCCATGAGGAGGATCCAGCCTACGGGCCTTGAGTTTGACACCCCTGCACTTAGTTATATGAAATACAAGTTGCTAAACTTAAGTTATATGATGTATGCAATCTATTTAAAAAAAAACTTTTTCTGGAAGCAGAATCTGAATTTGTTTTTAAGTACTGGAGTATTCGAGTTATAGTACCTCAATAGATGGCAGCCCTTGGCTACCCTTTTTTGGGCTGGGGTACAAGAAACATTAAAGCCCACAACCATTTTGTTTTGCAGGGTTGAATTGGAGCTGGTTCTTCCCCTTCCAGACCCTCATAACCTCCCAGGTGTTGGATCAGCACCAAAATGGCATCACCTGCTCAGCCAGAGATCGAAGTGTGTAACTAGGTATCGTCAGCATACTGATGCTGCACTCTGTGCTATGAAATGACCTCATCCAGCATATTCACGTAGAAGAGTCATTTTCAAACTTAGCCACTTTAAGATGTGTGGACTTTAACTCCCAGAATTCTCCAGCCAACATGAAACTCTACTTGCAACTGAAGAAATTCTCCCAATGAAACAGAAGAAAGATAACATGAGAACTAGATGGTGCAACAGGCGAAGTATCAATTTCATGAATATCTTCACGTACTATTCCTCTAATGCTGCCATAAATTGCCAGCAGTTCCCTTTTGACTTTTAGACAGGATTAATAGACTGGACTTTGTACATAAGAATTAACTGAGCCAAGTCTGACATCGGGCTTGAATCAAGGACAAAGCATTGAAGCATTTTGATCTCCCAGGACAATCCATTATAAATCTTTATGTAGTTGTTTTGGAACAAAAAGACTTTTCCAGAGCAAATAAGAGAGAGACAGCTGAACTTATACATATCAGTGATTTGCAACTTATCTCAGAAAGTTTCAGCAAACACTGTTTTTAACACAGAACAATGGTTAATTGATAGGAATTTATAACCTGTAGCCTGTGAGACCCTCAGCTACATAATCATTTTGTTTTCTTCTCCCTTCTCATGCCTATGTTTTTAAACCCTATGTTAAGCAATTCCCTGCATCTGATAAAGTAGTCTGAAGCTCATGAAAGCTGGTATCTTATAACAAAATGTTATTAATTTGAAAAGATAGTTCCAAACTTTCCTAATGAGTAAAATACCTTAGCTTTTGATCAGGCATGGAAGCCCAATTCATGGTTAAAAAATTATGTGGAAAGCTTTTATACAGCTGTTGTGTAGCTCCCAAATTTCTGAATTTCTCCTAAGAAGCTAGTTAAAGCCCATTTCTTATTCATCTGTACACAATTAAGAATCTTTTCCAAGAGGATCTTTGAAAATGCATTTAAAAGCTAATTTTATTTTAATATTTGAAATATCAGGATTAGCAAGAGATACTTTATTGTAAGGAAAGTATCCCTCCTCAGGTTACAAAGTTAAATTAAAATGGAAAGAATTCCCTTCCCACCCCTTTCTTTAACATTTTTGTGCAATATCATTTCCAATAATAGGGCTTGCTCGGGTGGAAAGTATCTTGCAAGTTCCACCAAAGAAAAAATATATTTCTTCCCCTCAATTTTCAATGCATATTTTCTCCCCAGGTGTGAATTCTGTTTTGAGTAAACACTACTGAAAAGATCAGTTCCTATAATCAGAAGCAAGTAGATTCAAGTCTAGTCAAACTAGTCACTGCAAATGGGGCAAATTTGTGATCTAGAGACTTTTTTACTAGCAACCAAAGCAACTCAAAAGGGCACCCAAAAATTAAGAGAAGTTGGTTCTCACCGTGTACACATCTTCTTGGTATGTTCAGAGATCACCCCACATTGCTAGAGAAAAAAGACCATACATAAGGTTGGTTGATAGGCTGGGTGAGTGCATCAGAAGATGGATATAATTCTTAAACATTCAAAAAGTAACTATTTCAGAATGTAAATATTTTGATTCTCAGACAGAACCGTAAATGCAGCCATGAATTTTCAGCAACAGGCTGGCTAAGAAGAAAAACAATATTTAAGTAAACACAGCCAGATAAAAACATGGAAAATGGGGAGTAAAAGAAAGAGCGAGGCAGAATAATGTAACCCTTGTGGGTTGGAAGACCTTGGAAGACCTAAAAGGTGCAATGCCTAGTCTCAGAAAGTTGTACATGGGAAGGGCAAGGATGCAATACAGAGGAAAATCCCCTTTTAAAGCAACTCAACTGAGATGGGAATTTAAAAAAGAACTATACTTGTTTTCTCCTTTCAAATGTATTGGGTCTCCAGCCCCCGGATCCACAGATAAGGATCATATTCCAGCTAGGAAGAGCAACCAACTTCTGCAAGTTTCTTGCTTTCCCAGGATAAAATAAAATAAAAAATCAGCCTGAGTAGCTACTTTAATTAGGTCAGCAGACCCTATCTCCACAATGATAGACATCAGTATTTGCACACCACCCTTTATTTCTATCTTATTCTGATCCAGGCACATTAATCCTCATACTACTTGCTTACCCCTTAGCGTCATTTGACCTTCATTTCAACAAAATCTTGCTTGGGTTCCTTCCCTCTTTCATAGTCAATAAAGCAGCAACTGTACATTGCTATAGTTAAATGAATATTAAGTCCAAAATAAATAATTCATATCAGATTTAAATATTATTTGGCAGCTTCAAGGAATTGAACAGTCCTCAAATCACTTCAAAGGGTAGTCAGAGGATGTATCTTCCTTTTGTAATGTCTCTTCCAAGTAAATGTTTAAGCACTGCATAGGCTCCAATGATCAGTTATTCAGACCATATGCAGCATTCCTAACGGCAAGCATTTACTTTCAAATAAATAAACAACAGTTTCACTCTATTAACTGAAAATAAGCAAAAGCATACAGAATCATTAGACAGAAGGCAACAGAGCTAGGTACTCACTGTAGTTAGCAAACTACGGAGCTCCTCAGGGCCCAGAGTTTCATAGTTGATTCCAGCAGAATTGTTATACTAAAGAGGAGAACACACCACACCCAGATATTTTAGGTGTTACATAAATCATGGCAATCCTTTCCTTCACATTTTCACCATAAAATGAAATGGTATGAAAATAAAATTATGCATGCCCTTCTGTAATCCTATTCTATTCTGGAGTCATTAACCTTAGGAGCTCTTTTAATTTTAAGACAGGTTGACAGCCACAAGTGATAGGGTAATGATGCAGAATGGACAGGGCTTTGTCACACAGCAGTGAAATTCTTTTAGGGAGCATTCACTGTTTTTTGTTAAAATTGACGATAAGTCTCTTTGAAGCTGACATTAAAATTTCCTCACATTCTTTTTTAAATGTAGGCATTTATGCCATCAAATTCAGGCATATTGTGAGAATGGGTTCCAGAGCCACTGCTGTATTTAGACAAGTTGACTCAGGCACCTCAAAACAGAGGTGTTGTAGAAGATCTAGTACTTCTTAAAATCATAAGGAGCAACACACAGCATTGCTGTGCTGATCTTAAACTCACCTTAAATGGATCTGAGCTACCACTCAGCTCCCCTATAGGAAGAGAAAAAAGAATACACATAAGTCGCAACACATGTGATCTCATTCTACTAGTGAAATCATCAATGCACATGCCAGAGAACTAGTATTTGTCTTTAAAGGTCAATTCATAGATTCCATATGGCTATATATCAAGGTTGTTGAGTTGGGTGGTCCCTGAGGTCCAAAAGGTTGGCAAGCCCTGTTCTAAACATTCTAAAACATGCTTAATTCAAATTACAGTAGGAAAAGTTAATTAGTGGAGAAAGCAAGCTCAAACAGTGAAGCAACCCCCATTCCTTCCAATCATTTTCATGGTGACCCAAGACACCTGTGATTCTGAAGGCTTTTTTATATTTCCTTGTTGCCATTCATGAAAGGCTCTCTTAAGCAAACCCATCACCTAACTGCCATTACTATCTGCCCATCTACCACAGTCTATCAAGCCTTCAGTAGATTCCTCCAAATGCTCAGTATTTCCTCTCCTTATTTGACAGACCAGAACAGTAGATTGCCTGTGGTAGGGCTACTACATCTAACCTGCATTTTGGCAGCCTTAGTAGGGTAACAAATCCATTCTATGCACTTCTCCAAATGCCCAAACCAATTGAAAGCCATGACAACCTTTGTTTTCTGAGCATAGTGCATATTGCTCATGCCTTTCCACTAAAAACCTGAAACCAAGCTACTTAAGAACTACTGAGATATTCAGCAGATTGAGCAAAAACATTCTGATTATACAACACATTTGTTCTCCTTGATTTTCTCTTTTTATATTTCCCCACAGCATGTTTACAGCAGTAATTGACAAACAAACCTGACACATGTTATAGTTCAATGAGAAAGCTGCTACTACATTAAGTGGCATAAAAGCATCTGAAAGTTTGACTACATAAGAAGTGCTCTGACTCTCACCAGCAAATCTATCTATGTGTAGAAAACTCCGGCAATTTAGCTTCTGCTTTAGTAGTACTTGTTTCCTTCCAATTAATCTGGCATGCCCATATTCATCACTCATGCAGAAACACAAGAAAACAGGGCTTTCCAAAGGCAGGCACTTCTTGCAGTGCAAAAAGTATGTACCCTCTCCACTCCAAATTTTAATTAAGATACACAAAAGCTCTACAGGAGAATTGGGAAATTCTTTGAAAATGCATTATGCTATGTCATATGGAGATCAGATATAGGAACAATAAAAGATGACTTTCCACAATACACTCACCATTTTTATGCTTCAGGGACTTGGATCTTCGGGGAGAATTGGGATTCTGAAAGAAGTCAGGAAAAATAAAAGGTATAGTTTGGTATGGGGGGATACGGAAATTCTGAATTTAATAGATCCTGCAACTAAATTCCTTCCCCAACTTGAAGGGCAGATTTTTCAACGTTATTTCATTTCAGTGACAAAAATCAGGCTACTCGCTCAATAGTTTGAACAACAGTTTCAGCAATGTAGATGATTTAAAAAAATGTTTTGGTTACCTGGAACTCAAATAATATTTGAAATAGAAGAAGCACAGAAATTGTGAAATGAATAGTTTTAAAGACTGTTGTTGATATACAGATACAAAACATTCATTACTAGAGTGTCTGGGAAGGAAAACTTACATTCCCAATGTATGCTGAGTTCTACATTGAATTAATGGATTACAGAGTTGTAAAAAGGGGAAATTTTTATTACAATTTTTTAAATAAATGTTTCTATGCCTGTTAGAGGCCCTTTCTCTTTTTTCTGTATTTGGTGTCTTCACTTATTCTTCCTCTTTGCCAGCACTATTTGAGGAGCCTACAACTCAAAGGAGCCATGTGACTCAAAGTAAAAGATAAAAGATGTAGACGCACAGAATAAACTGAGAAAAACCTTCCTAAAGGATCCAAATTGAACCATAATCTTGTTTCCCTTGCTTACAGTAGCACAATTTCAATCCAATGCACAAGAGATTTTGAAACCCAGGGTTTACAAATAGTATCAGATCATGAAAACAGAGAGTTCTTCACATACAGAATACTTCAATTTTTTCTAATACTAATTTCTAACTTTGCAAAAAGTTTAGAAATGCTTATTTTAATAACTAAAACAATATTAAATGTAGGCATGATCTTACCTTATCCGATTTCCTCTTCTTTGCTAATCAGTAGACAAAAAAGAGATATTTTATTTTAGCATCCCCTTAAAACATTTTCAAACTTAATTTTTGGTCCAAGAATTATATAAGCCCATGTGTGTCTGGATGTTAGAAACAATGCTCTTTAATAGTACAGATCAAAGTTCTGAGTCTATATTTGTAGTAGCCCAGAGAACTCATTCTTGTCTCAAATTAGAAACAGAGATACCGTATTTGCCGGCGTATAAGACGACTTTTTTGCCCTGAAAAACATGCCTCCAATTGGGGGGGTCGTCTTATATGCCGGGTCGTCTTATACGCCGGCAAATAGTAATTGGGAAGCACTGCGGCTGCCCGCGGCTGAGGCACTTTTGCGCACCGTGGAAACGAATCCCGTGAAGCCGAAAGGAGCAGCCAGCCTTCTCCCAGCTCCCAAGGAAACGAGGCTCGCACCGCCCGAGCTCCGCTGAGGTGTCCGGCTGGGGCTGTCAGGAGTTGTTACCGCTGGCGCGGCTCCGCGCGGTTCCAGTCCCGCGTTGCCTCAGGAAGGGAAAGGCAAAACCAGGAGCCGCTGCTGCCATTGCAAAGCGCCGCCGCGGCTCTTCCTTTTTGCCTTTCCCTTCCCGAGGCAACGCGGGACTGGAGCCGCGCCAGTGGTAACAACTCCTGACAGCCCCAGCCGGATACCTCAGTGGAGCCCGGGCGGTGCAAGCCTCGTTTCCTTGGGAGCTGGGAGAAGGCTGGCTGCTCCTTTCGGCTTCACGGGATTCGTTTCCACGGTGCACAAAAGTGCCTCAAAAAAAAAAAAAAAGTGCAAAAGTGGAAGGCGTGCGGAAGAGGGGGCGAGTATATAACAAACTATATTTTGAGTGGAAATGTTGGGGGGTCATCTTATACGCCGGCATATACGGTATGTAAAATGGAAGTTAGGACATGGAAACTGATGTTAAAGTATGATTAGTTTCTCAAGTCATTCCCCCTCAGGTTTATTTCAAGTAATAAAGACTGATAATTTTTCATCAAGTTGGCATAATGTCATAGAACAACAACTAATGACATATGGGTTACATGTGATCTATAGGATATAACAATGCCAAGCATACACTTCTGCAAAGATTAAATGATACCGATTTCCAGGTGGAACAAAGACCTAAACCACAAGTATGGTTTCATTGGCCAAGCATTTCAGATTGTTTGGGACCCTATATGACATTGGAATGCAATGCTAGACTTAACCTTGCTGGGCTGATTTTGGCTTTGCAAAGCTTTGCAAAGCTTTTTGCTGCTTGTCTGCCTTCTTTATGGACTCAGCTGGGTGGCAGGCCTCCTCCACCATGAGGTACCTATGCATGCTTAACGACCTGTGCATTTACCTATCAGTGGCATCAGGGAAAGCAGGGGTGACGTCATTAAGTAAGGTTGTCTCACATAACAGTTGTCACTGGATGGATGGACTGTAATAGGCAGTCTCCATTACGGTAGCAGGCTGAGGATTACCATAATTAATAAGGAATTAATAATTAATCTGTTCCTCTGCAACGTATCGCCATTAGAGGAAGCCAAAACCTTTTCATTCTCTTGAGGTCACTTCTGAAAACTATGTTTTTAGACCCACAGTTGTATAAAACTGGCCAATAATAACTTGTTGTGGCATTGGCAGTCTCTCTCTCTCCCCTACACCCCCAAGCTGGGAACTCTATCTGAATCCAGATCTTTTGCATTAGACTCCATATCGCAAAATGCTCAAGATGCAAGATTGCCCCTTTGAACCATCAAATTCCACCAGAAGAGCCTTCTAGAAAATCTCACTCATCAGAATTTCACTGAAGTGGCAGCCAAATTCAATATCAAGTCCTCATTCTATGAAGAGACTATCTTTAAAAAAAGAGCATTCTCACAAACACATCTTTGCCTCAGCTTACCTTTCTTCTCAGATCCATATGACCAGTCATTATCATTTATGTCATCATTGTCCTCTTGATCACTCTCAGATTTGTTCATGTTGTTACTACTTGCTATCCTGTAGCAGGGAGAAGAAAGGAGAAAAAGGGTTCTTTATTTTTAATTTCAGGATGAAAGACTGCAACTACCGTGTTTCTCATATAATAAGGCCGGGTCTTATTTTTTTTTGAGCCCCCAAAAAATGGCTAGGCCGTCTTTTCGGGGGTGACTTAATTCCCCCCCCTTGCATCTTCGGGCGGGTGGCGACGGCTTGGATGTTGACCTCGGCGTTGGTGGGGCACTTCGTATTGGTGTCAACACAGGCAGCACCATACCCGGGTGTGCAACAAAAGTACTTCCTAACGGCAAGCCCCACCACCATTCCCCCCATTTCGCATGTTTTAATATAGGCCTTAATTTGGGGGGAGGGGCTTAATTTCATTTCATGCCTATAAAACATGCTGGGACTTCCTATTGGGGGAGGCCGTATTGTTGGAGAAACAGGGTAGAACTTCCACTTTCTGTTCCAAGCCATTAACCAGGGGTGGGATTCAGCTGTTTGGGCTGGTTCAGGTGAACCGGATATTAATTTTACATCCAGTTCGGGGAACTGGTAGTTCCAAAAACCAGCTGAGCCTGCCCCACCCAGGAGTCCCCAGGCACATGGTTCTGGCTCCCAGGTAAGTGCAGGAAGGCTTCCTAGACCCAAAATAGGGCACAGGGGGTGTGTTGTGCACTTCCCACACCCTGTTTTGGCTCTCCTGAAGCTCCAGGGAGATTTGCTAGGCCCAAAACGGGGCATGGGGTATGCAGTGCCCCCCATACCCCATTTTAGCTCTCCTGAGGCTCCCCACGCCCTGTTTTGGGCCTAGCAAGTCTCTGCAGTCTCCTGGGAGCGAAAATGGGGCTTAAGGGGCATGTTGAACTCCCAAACCCCATTTTTGCACCCAGGAGGCTCCAGGAGGCTTCCTAGGCCCAAAACCGGGCACAGGAAAGGAAAGGAAAGGAAAGGAAAGGAAAGGAAAGGAAAAGAAAGGAAAGGAAAGGAAAGGAGGGGGGGGAGCGAAGGGAGAAAGAAAGGGAAGGAAGGAAGGAGGGAAGGAGGGAAGGAAGGAAGGGAGGGAGGAGGGAAGGAAGGAAGGAAGGAAGGAAGGAAGGAAGGAAGGAAGGAAGGAAGGAAGAGGGAAGAAAGGGAGAAAGAAAGAGAGGGAAGGGAGAAAGAGGGAAGGAAGGGAAAGTGAATGAGATATGGATGGATGGATAGAGGGAGGGAGGGAGAGAAAAAGGAGAGGAAGGAAGTACCATAAACCCTGGCACTAGACATAGCTTCAGAGAATGCTTTGAAATAGCATAGCGATCCAAGGCTGGAAGGGACCTCAGAGGTCATCTAGTCCAACCCCCTGCTCCAAGAGCATGTTAAAGTGAATTTCTCTTGACCCACCTAGTCACCTGACCACCTAGCCACACCCACCAAGCCATGCCCGCCAAACAGGCTGTTAAAACATTTGAATCCCACACCTGCCACTAACTCATGCAGGATTGCCAGGAAATGTAGCACTGCTCCATGACATTGCCAGGCAGTGAGGGTGAGGAAGTTCAAAGAAGACTGGCAAATGTGTTATCTGAAATAGGTATAAACAGAAAAAGGATGGCCAGAGTTCAGGTTTCCAAGACTGATGTTTTTGTCTTTTTTAAACCTAGAAACTCAGACCTGCCAACACAATATTCTCAATTGAGAAATTAGTCCCGAGTAATACCACTGAATGGAGCTTGCTATTTTTCTATACAACAGTTCCAAATTATCATTAATTGCAGTAGTATAATAGGGAGTAGGTAGAAAGTTGGAAATTCTGTTAGCATTAAGTGTATTGAAGAACAAAGTCCACCACAAAATGAGCAAGTGTGTTAATTATCAACTGAGGTCACTATATTTCTTAGCATGTGTAGCAGACTTCTTCAACTTGGGATGCTACCTACTGTATGTATGGATTCTAACTTCCAGAATTCAGCAGTCACTATGATACCAATATTAGGGAAAGCTGGTTTACAGACTGGAATGCATTTCTGATGAAACCTGTCAGCAACCCAGTGAGGCAGGTCAATAGAGACTCAAACTGCAGTGGAAACAAGAAGCTAAGAAAGCTAAATAGTTTTTTACTCCTGGAATTGACATTTGGATGCAAAGGTTGCAGCGGTGGTCAGAAATGGCCACCTCAAAGAAGAACTCGACCAGAAAAGAATGTGCAGGAGGAAGATAAGAAGTGAAAGTTCTGGCTGACCGGGTTAAATTGCAAAAGCAACAACTAAGGTACCCTGGAATTTAAACTAAAAAAAAAAAGTAACATCGTTCCCAAGAAGATTCGGAAGCAGCGAAGAAAAGTGAAAAGGGAAAGGTTTGGCTTTTTTCTTCTTCTCTCCCTTTCCCTATATTGACAACTAAGAGATTTAAATAAGAAATTGGGAAAAAAAACTGCTTTGACATCAACAGGCAATTAAGCTGAAAATAAAATAAAATGTCAAAGGGATAATAAAGATTTCTGGACATTAAAAAGTTTTTTATAAGCAGGAAAGGAGAGAAAAAGAATAAAAGGGCAGGATCTGGAAAAAAGGGAGGAGACTGCCTGGAATAAAAAGGAATCCACAGTAAAACCTCAACAAGACTTCTAAAAGATACATTTTAACTGAAACTTGGTAACTAAATTGTAGAACCCCAGGAAGAGAAAGTGAAAAAAAAGCAAAAAGAAACAGCTTGCGTGTATTTGGATTACTTGGTGATCATTGGATTCTTGGTTATTGCATTTGAATGACTAAAATTAATTGGGTGGTTGTTTAAAAATTTATACAATGGCAGTACTTCTGGATGAATTGAAAATGGAACTTAAAAAGTACAAAGAAGATGCACAAGAAGGGAGAGGTTCTTTTGGCTTCATTTTTCAATTCTTAGAAATGGAGATTTGGAACTATGAGAAACAACAAGAAACATCTGCAAAACAAGAAGACTGGGACAAAGAAGAAGCCATTTTTAATGAACAAGTAATTTTATGTGGGGAAGAAAAAGGAAAGGGGGGAAAGAGAATGGAGAATTTAAGACTTAAAAAAACAACCAAAGAAAAGAAAAATAGTTCGAAAAATAAGTATAATATTGGAAAGCAACAGAAGAGGAGAATACAGAAGAGAGGAATAGAGGTAGAGAGACAAGGGGGTAAAAAGGGGAGAGAGAAGAACAAAGGGAAGAAGGAAAGGAAAAGAAGTTACAAAGGACACAATGTATGATTAAAATGAGGGATAAAATAACTACTGTAATCTTGTGAAATGTTTGTTAATAAAATAAATGAAATAAAATAAATGAGAGAATTGAATTAGGAAGGGACAGGAACATTTTAATTAGTTAATGTTTTATAAAATATAAGTGAAGGGGGGTGGTGGAATTAACTATGGAAAGCTTATAATTGTTCCCATAGAAGTATGATATTTAATTGAAAAGTAATGTTAAAGAAGTTAAGATTTTAATGAATATTAATATTAATTGAAGAATTGAATTGGAATGGAATGTGTTGTTTTAACTACATATATTTATAATCCTTTTTTTTTCTTTTTAAGAATACAGTGTGTATTTTAAGAATGTACCAAGCAGAATCCGAATGGAAGTTATGTATTATATTGAATGTTATAACTTTAAGGTATATATTGAAGCCTAAATAAGAGTTAAATGGATAAAATTAAAAGATATAAAGGTGTCATACTCCAATCAGCAACTACAGAAGAACCTTTGTTTAATGAGAAAAGATAATATGAAATTGAAACATGACAGACAAAAAGTATAAATACAATGATTTGAATTGAGATGAGATAATTAAAATAAAATTAAGAAAGTTAAAAGAGGGGAGAAGCTATGTAGAAAATGTAAAACAGTAATAAGATATGGAATTGAACATAAAAATGAGCATGAAATTGAATTTGTGTCTGTACGAAGAAATGTAACCCAGGATCATGCTACTTTCAAAAAAGATGTTTTATTTGTATTTCTTTGTGAAAACTCAAATAAATTTTTTTAAAAAAAGAACTTGCCACAGTTTGTTATCTACACAATCAAAGACTTTAGCGTAATCAATGAAGCAGAAGTAGATGTTTTTCTAGAACTCCCTTGCTTTCTCCATAATCCTTTGATTTCCTCTACTGCCTTTCATATTTCCACATTCTTTACCATGGCAAACAAATGTAAAATAATGATGCAAAAATGCATCAGTTCAGCTTTTCCACTGATGCATAATTTACGCTAGCATGACAACAAATAATGTGTTACTTTACGCATAGAATAAACATAAAACAATACAATCATAGAATCTCAAAGTTTGATTTTCTTTTCTTCTTCTGATACCTGATTTTCAAGCATATCATCCTTGGTCTCAGCTCTTTTTCTGATAGACCTATAATGTTCAGAGCCTTCTAATGTCCTTACCTCCTATTGGCAATGCGGCTGCTGTTCCGACCCATACCAAGGCACTTCTCCAAGTGTGGGGCAAAGCGGGAGGCTGCAATGCTTCGGCTACAGTTTGGGCACACACATTCCTTAGTCTTCCACTGGTTATAGACCTGTCCAAAAATATCCAGCCCTGGTTGATCTACAATTTCTGTAACCAAAAAAGAAAGGTGTCTCTCAGTTGAACATATAGCCAGGAAGGGCTACATATATAAGCATCTCAAGAACTTCACCAAAAAGTAGCAGCTTAGATTGACAGACATTTAAAAACAGTCCAATTTTCCCTTCTTTTAAGATAAACATTACAAGAATAGTGACCTACAATGTAATCATCACTATTGCTACCAGAACAATTCTCAGTCACAGAGGGGGAGACAACAACCTTCAGACACTAGAATGGCTCTGACCATGCAACACTCTTTCAACTCTCACAAAGCTCCTTGGATAATCGTAGAATAATCTCTACCATCTCAACCACCACCACCACACACACACACATTCCCCTGCCTAGCTTATCATTAGTGTGCATTAAAAGTTAAAATAGTGGCTAGATGAGTGGAGAGCAATGTAGGATAATAGTTAAAATAGTTAAAAACCTTACAGATAAACAGAAAAGGGAATTGACAGAGAAAACAGATCTTCAGATAGTAAAGAAAGTTAAATATTTAGCCATCTATCTAACAGCAAGATGTGCAACAATTAAAGAGGATAATTATATAAAATTAACGCAACAAATAAAGCTGGACTTGGAGAAATAGAAGAATTTACAACTATCAATGATCGGGAGAATAGCCAATATAAAAATGAATATATTACAGAAGCTACTTTTCTTATTCCAAATGATACTGATAAAAATAGAGAAAAAATATTTTGAAGAATTAAATAAAACAATTTTGAAGTATATCTGGCAAGGAAAAAAAGCAAGGATAAAACTGAAAATGTTACAGGAATCCAAAAACAATGGGGGCTTTAGGCTACCAGACTGGGAACTGTATTACCAGGCATCTGTACTTACATGGGTAAAATAATGGATAAACTTGAAATACAGAAGATTATTATTCAGGCATGATATTCCCCTCTGAAAAAAAAATCGGGGCAGGCCAAAAGAGACCCCCCACCGCGCGCCAAGAAATCGCTGCCCAGCTCCCTTTTCCTGCCGCTCAGCGGCCTCCGCTCACACCGCCCGCCCACCCGCCCGGGCTCCGCTCGCACCGCCCACCGCTCGCACCGCCCGCCCACCCGGGCTCCGCTCACACCGCCCGCCGCTCGCACCGCCCGCCCGCCCGGGCTCCGCTCGCACCGCCCGCCGCTCGCACCGCCCACCCACCCAGGCTCCGCTCGCGGCGATTCCCAAAAAAATCAGAATTCCGATTTTAATCGGAAGAATATCATGTCTGATTATTATTGGAGGGGCATGATTTTCAATTAGGATGGTATGCTTTCTTATGGTATGGAAGGAGCACAATACATAGATATTTTCAAATACGTTATGTGAGGAATGCCTTACTTTTGGTATGGGGAAAAAAAATTAAACAACAAAATTATATGAAAATACCAGTCTGGCTTTCTAC